GTTCCTTAGTACTTTGTTATGAAATCTCTGGATAATATGTAGATTACTAGCTTTGGTACAGCCCCAGAATATACCCACACTGGCCTCAGTATTTGATTGTAAATGGATAATTTATTATGAATGGATAGTGTTAATTTTTTTCCAATCAGCCAATACAATTTCTTATATCTAATATCAAGCTCCCCTCTTGTCTTTTTGACATGGACTTTCCAGCGCAGCCTCGTGTCTAGAGTGATGCCCAAGTATTTTGCTGATGTCGCATAAAGAACTTGGGTATCATTTATTCTAACTGGGAAATTTTCAATTTTTTTATTTGTAAAGTTAATGTGTGCAGATTTAGTCTCATTTAATTTTATTCGCCATTTTCTGGTCCAGGTATGTATTGTATTTACTGATAATTGCAACTTGTCAGTCGCTTCTTCACTAGTGTCTCCTATAGCTAGTATGGCTGTATCATCCACGAAAGTGGCAATAGTGTTTTGTTCTAGCTCTGGAATGTCTCATGTATACAATAGGTACAGGACCAGACCTAAACCTAATACATTCCCTTGTGGCACGCCAGTTTTGATCTCCCTTAAATTGGTGTACACTTCCTCTTGTTTTATTCTGAAATATCTATTCACAATGTATGATTCTAAGTTTTCTGAATACTGTTTAAGCATGAAAGTTTTTAGTTTATAGCTTAAACCCTCATGCCAGACTTTATCAAATGCCTGTGCTACGCCCAAGAAGATTGTAGAGCAGACTTTATTTTCTTCTAATGTTTTTGGTTGATGATTTGGTATAAGATTTTTTCTTTCTATTATTGGTTTTAACTTTTTCAATAAAAATATAGTTTTGACGTTACCGTAAGGAGTGATATTGGTCGATAGAATATCACTTCATTAGGAGGTTTACCTGGTTTGGCGATTATAATGACTTTGGCTACTTTCCAGAGTTTGGGAACATATCTCAATCTAAAAGCAGCAGCATTTATTAGATATGTCAGCCTAACTATGGCTTCTCTTGGTAGATTTTTAATAGTTCTCCTGTTATGAGATCATATCCTGGAGCTTTCTTAGGATTTATATTTTTTTGTATCTCTGTTGATACTTCTCTAAATAATGTCAACGTTATTCTTTCTTCAGTTTGGAATGGTTCTTCCCATCTCAGTTCACCATCATTGTCGTTGGGTTTCAATGCGTTTTCTAAATGATCTGTAAATTATAGTTTATTCGTCTTCCGGGTTTGGACCGTGTCATTTGTGAGTGACCCAAAAGTGGGTTCATCTCGACGTTTCGCTACAATTGTATGTAGCTTCTTCAGGAGAACAAAGAAAAAGAAAAAGAAGACAGGAAGATGGGTAGTTAGCAACGGTAACTCAGTTACTCAACGCAACCAGAGGCGAATACTAACTACCAAGATGGGCATTTGGTCACAGTAACTCAACTACTCAACGCAGCCAGAGGTGAAAACCAAATGCCAGAACAGGGATTCACGTCCAACAGCTCAGAACACTAACGCGTCGAGAGGCGGGGAGTGAATCCCCGTAATGAAAACTAAAATTTGAATTTTTTTGACTTGTTACGCTATTGAACTGAGGTATCAATATGCTCACATCAGCAACCTTTTCAACTTTTCATCAAGTTTATTGCTTTTTAAGGAATAAATCATAAAATAAAAATATTGACAATTCAAATATTGGTAATATCTAATTTCATTGTGACCGAACGCAACCCGTTATACATATTCTGCACTACGTGTGGCCTAACTTTTGAACAATATTTTGACAAATGTATTATATTTTTGCAACATTTTGGAATATTTTTAATTCGTAGAACAATTTTACCAATTGTTTTCTATACATATTTCAGTCCTCTACAAATTGTTTTTCACGATTTTTTATGCAAAAAAATTAGGGACGCAGGAATTCAACGGTTTAGAATTTCCCACTGAGTTTCCTATGGCCCGTTTGTTGATTCACCACACGGTTTGTGGTTAAATTGATCGTTTGAAACATTAAAAATTTATTATTAGAAATATACCATCAGAAACCATCCAAAATCAAGTGCAGTTTCGCAGGAAAATATTACACGTTTTAATACTTTTATTACTCCAAAATGAATACTGTATTGATTAACTAATTCCATTTTTGTCTTGTGATCTTCGGACACACAGTGTCATTCAAGCACAAGCACGGACTAGTGCGTACTTTTTGTCACTTTTGTTTGCTACTTTTTATGGTATCATTCTTTGTTTATTCATCTCAGAGATAAAATGTATTTCGCAGAATAATAAGACGATAGCTTAGAATATAGCTTTTCTTAATACGTTCCGTATTTGTTTATGTATAACATGTGACCCTTTTCGTAAAGAGTGTCTCAGAGTAGATTTTAGTATTTAAACTTACCTTACGGTGTAGACCGTGTAGCTGACATGTGCGAATTTCAGTTACCATGGAACAGTGGACGAAGACGAAGCGTGCAAACATGGTTGAGGCGTATTTTAAAGCCAACGATTCCTATACAGTTCCTCGGCGGCGTTTTTGTGCGCGGTACAATATTAGACGCGTGGGTGATGCACCATCCGCGATGTTAGTGCACGCATGCGTAAAGAAATTTAGAGAAGAAGGAGTTGTTACAAATGTGAAACATCCAGGCAAACCAAAAACTATTCGAACTCCTCAATATTGCAAGAGTTCAACATGATGTGAATGATAATCCTCGGCGTTCACTTCGCAAACCTACACAAGCTCTAAATTTGTCTCGTGCTAGCATCCAGCGTATTTTAAAGAAGGATTTAAGTTTTCACCCTTACAAAATTCAGTTAAGCCAATATTTGAAAGAAACTGATCACTTACTGAGGAAAAAAATTTCTGAGGAGATGATGACTCGTTTTTGGGATGACGGTGGCTTAGAAGGGATTATTTTCAGTGACGAGGCTCATTAACTAGCTTCTAACGTCCAATACTGAACATAGGCCTCTCGCATGATTTTCCACTTCGGCCGAATAAAGCAGCTGGTGATGACCAAATCGTTATTGAGGCAGTTAAAGCAGGAGGAAAGACAGTATTGAAAGCATTGACACAATTATGTAACTTATGCCTTTCAAAAGAGGTTACACCATCTCAGTGGAATAAAGCTGTTATAGCAGTCATGCACAAAAAGGGAGATATAGCAGAGCTAAAGAACTATAGACCTATTAGCTTGTTATCTCACGTTAAGTCGTTAATGGAAAAAACCATTGAATATAATAGACCCGTGATACTTGTCTTTGTCGACTTTGAAAAAGCATTTGATACGGTTAATCAAAGTGAAATGCTCCAAGCTCTAACACAATGTAGAATTAGATCACCGATACATATCCCTCATCAGATACATCTATCAGCATGCTACAGCCTGTGTAAGACTTAACGAAGATACTGGGACCTTTCGTATTGAAAGAGGCGTTCGGCAAGGAGACATGTCTCCTAAATTATTTACAACTTTGCTAGAATACGCTTATAAAACAATAGATTTGAACGAAAGGGCATCAATGTAGATGGAAACTTTTTAAATAACCCTAAATTTGCAGATGATATCGTTCTTATTGCAGACAGCTTTAATCAGGCACAGATAATGCTCCAAGAACTCCATATTGCCTTCAAAAACACAATATATGACAAATTTAGTTCACAAGAAAAACATCTCAGTAGAAGACAAAGATATTGAGCCAGTTGACTCCTATAAATAATTGGGCCATTAGATCAGAATAAGTCGAGACAACCAAACAATCGAGCTGAAAAGAAGAATAAACCTCGCTTGGGCTGCATTTGGAAAGATGAAGGATATTTTTAGGTCTAAGATTCCAATGTGTCTGAAAAGAAAAGTATTTAATCAGTGTATTTTGCCAGTGAGACCTACGGCGCAGAAATCCTAACACTCACAAGAACAACAGTGAGTAAACTACAAGTTGCGGAAAGAGCAATGGAGAGAATTATGTTAGGGATTTCTCTACGTGATAGAATACCCAATGCTACTATACGCAAAAGATTAGGAGTAGCAGACGTTATTGAAAGGATAACAACACTAAAGTGGAACTGGGCAGGTCATGTAGCAAGATCAGTTGATGACCGGTGGACAAAAAGAATTTTGAAATGGAAACCCCGAATACAAGCTTATATAGACATAGAGGTCGACCCCCAACGAGATGGACAGATGACATAAAAAGAGTGACTACAAATTGAATTCAGATGGCGCAAAATCGGACTAAGTCGGACAATGCTCACTTTCACCTTAATGGATATGTCAACAAGCACAATGCTCTCTACTGGTGCCCTGAAAATCCACATGAATTACACCAGAAACAGTTGCATTCAAGAAAGGTGACGGTTTGGTGTGGCATGTCTGCATCGGGGATCATCGGACCCTACTTTTTTGAAGATGCTAGGGGACCCACACTAACTGTCAACAGTACACGATATACTGAAATGTTGCGGAATTGGCTACGTCCAGAATTGAATAATTTTCCAGGGTATAATTCAGGCAATACATGGTTCCAACAACAGGGTGCTACGCTACACACACCGAACACTTCAATAAATGCCCTAACAGAAATGTTTCCAGGCATACTGATTTAAAAAAATATTCGTTTTCCTCCAAGATCTCCTGACCTTACCCCTTTAGATTTTTTTCTGTGGGGGTATTTAAAGAACATCGTCTACGCTAATCCACCAGCCACCATTGAAGAGCTGAAGCAAAATATTCGCAACGCTATTAACATCGCAGTGAATATGTGTGAGCGCGTCTTTCTCAATTTGCGATCCAGGTTGCAAGAGTGCTACGAGCGAGATGGTCAACATCTCACCGACGTGTTATTTAAGAAATAAAATCCGCATGTTCTGTGTGTCTTTTTTCGTAATAAATGTTTTTCTAACAGGTTCTGAAACCGAGTTTTATTGATTTAAAAACTAAAATCTACTCTGAGACCTTCTTTATTTTTATTGTATCGTAAGAATATAGACTACCTTTTCTTGTTTTTAGATTCTCCTCCATTCGCAGTCATTCCCTTAGAGGAAACAATCAGTTTCTTTAGATCTCATCGGGAAAGTTCCATGTTGGCGATAGCTATGGAGGATTATTCGCTGAATATAATGGACATCGACACGAAACGTGTAGTGCGGAAATTCACTGGTCATACAGCACAATTAACCGACGCCACTTTTAGTCCAGACTCACGATGGCTCATGACTGCCTCCATGGATTGTTCTGTACGAACATGGGATATACCATCCGGTCAACTGGTGGATGAATTTGCTACCGATGCTGCATGTATTTCTTTAGATATGTCTCCAACTGGAGAGTGTTTGATTACAGCCCACGTGGATTATTTAGGCATATTTCTTTGGACTAACAAGACCCTTTACACAAAAATTACATTAAAAAGTATCACACCTAGTGATAATCCTCCGTTAATATTGCTTCCGGAATGCGGACGGGATTATAATGAAGAAGACAAGGATGTAATTGAAGAAGATGTAGTTGAATTTGTTTCCCCCGAGCAAATAAGCAAGGAATTAATTACGTTATCTGGTCTTTCCACATCTAGATGGCAAAATCTCCTCAACCTGGATGTAATCAAGCAAAGAAACAAACCTAAAGAACCTCCTAAAGCACCCAAAGCAGCCCCATTCTTTCTTCCAACTGTAGCGTCTTTGACTGGTATTCAGTTTGATGTTAGACCAGAAACGGAAGAACAGACGAAATTTACAACACCACTTAATTTTGTCAATCTAACAGACTTTGGAAAATTATTAGAAACATCGAGAACGACTGACAACTTTAATGCAGTTATAGAAAAACTTAAAAACTATGGCCCTTCGATGATAGATTTTGAAATAAAATCTCTTTCGCCTGACAATGGCGGTACCTTGGAAGTGATGTTACAGTTTTTGAAGTGTTTGGAGTATATGCTTAAATCTAATAAAGATTTCGAACTAGCCGTAGCTTATTTGAGCGTATTTTTGAAGAGTCATGCACTTGTTATTGCTCAGACTAAGTTGCTAAGAGAGTATCTACCCAATGTAATAAGCTGTCATCAAGCAACGTGGGAAAGGCTTCAAGATAAATTGTTATATTGTACGTGCGTGGTGCAAAACTTAAAGACTATGTAATTGTTTATATAAATAAATATATTTTACATTTTTGTTTTTTGTTACCGAAAATTGCTCTTTTTACAGTGTAAACCTCGCGTAAAATTTACACAAAGTAATGGTTGGAGTGAGAGAGCGGGGCTAGACGTGAGAACCTGGAGAAAATAGGCGCGGGACCGTCAAGGTAGAGACATAGTTTGGAGGAGGTCAGGGCCCAAGGTTCGGTTCATGTTGTAGTGGCATTGGAGAGAGAGAGCGAGAGAAAATGGCAGGGGTAATACGACTGGACCCATCTTTTTCTAATGCCATGCTTTCTTTAAGCGTTGACCACCAATGTCATGAGACTAAATTACTCATGAATGTAAAATTCTGTGATCATAGATCACTTGCATCAGTTTCAGTAATGCTAATTGGCAACAGGAGGAAAAAGGACATGCGACACGAGGTATAAGGTGGAACTTAAAGGTTAAAAAATGAGAATAGCTCAATCAATGAAACCTGCTTCTTCCAAACTAAAACGAAAACAAGAAGTTAGAATTAGAGACCAATATGAAGTTTAGAATCCCTCAACCATTATCATTTGAAAACTTTCTGCGATTCAAATACATATTTGAAATTTACCTCTTGGTCAGTGGCAATGCAGAATAGACAGTAAAAATTGCTCTGCTGTTAAATTTGTTGGGAGATGAAGGACTTGATGTAATGACTTCGTCTTAAATTTAACGGATGTGCAGAGAAAATCGTATGATACAGTGTTAGGTTAATTAGAGAAGTACTTCACTCCTGAAAATAATGCGATTTAGGAAAGATTTTTGGGTTGAGTTTACTGAAAGTACAAGCTGATTATAGCTGCAAATGTCAAACGTGGAACAAAAAATTTCGGTTTAGCAGTGTTGGCAGGTTTTTATTTTGTAAAAGCTGTATGCTTCAAATATAAAGAGATAAAGTTTTAGAAAAGTACATTTTGATTATATTATATTATGAATTCGAGAATTTTTGATTTATATAAAACGAGAACGAGTCAATATTGTAAATCATAAGTAAAATCCATCAATTAATAGAAATTGTCTGGCAACAAGAAATAATGCCGAAAGAATGGTGTGGTAGTATTATTGTACCAATACACAAGAAAGGAAAAAAGAAATCATGCATGAATTACAGAGGAATCTCACTAATCAACACTACATATAAAATATTGGCTTCGATATTATTAAAAAGCTTAGTACCATACGCAGAAGAAATAGTTGGTGACTACCAGTGTGGTTTCAGGCCTGGCAGATCGACTATTGATAAAATATTTACAATAAGACAAATGCTTGAAAAGTATTGGGAATATAATGACGACGTGCATCAGATTTTTATAGACTTCAAACAGGCTTATAATTCAATTAATCGTGCAACATTATGGAAGGCAATGATCGAGCTCGGCGTACCCAAGAAACTAGATGCGGTAACACAAATTTGTGTAACTAACTCTTTTGCACAAGTTAGAATAGGGGGGAAAATATCAAATGCTTTCTGCGTAAATTCTGGACTGAGACAGAGAGATCCGTTATCTCCATTGTTCTTTAACCTAGCCTTAGAATATGTCATGCGATAAATATATCTAAAAATCAAACCAGACATAACTGCTCTGGAAGAAAAAATATACTCGCCTATGACGTAGACGCAGTAGCACAATCAATATTAGAAATTAGGGATATTTTCTCGAGCTTTGAAGAAGCTGCATTAAACATCGGTCTAAAAATAAATGAAGACAAAACAAAATACATGGTCATCTCAAAACAAGAACGATGGCGAATAAGGCAAACATTACTGTAAATTAATTACTATTAAACTGGGAATAAGCCACAATTAAAGATAAAAATACGTTTATTGACGTTTCAATTTCCACTTCGGAAATCATTCTCAAAATACAAACAGTAAATTAAACAAATTTTGTTTTTTGTTACATAGTGAAAAATTTTTCTAATAATTTAATTTTATCTGACTCATTTATATTGACAATTCAGACATACATTATACATTTTAAAGTAGACGACTTTAAAATGATATTGCCAATATTGTTGAGTTGCACTCCTGGGACGACTTTACTATAAGATAGTTCATTCGATTACATGAAATCAACTTTAACTTGACAATACCCGTCAGAAGAAAATCATAGCATGTAATTCGTCTTTAAAAAGACAAACACATGACATGATGACAGTAAAATTCTCCTGTTAGTGATTCCATAGTAAATTATGAGGGAAAAAATCTTATAATACTATCCAGACATTGTAAGTATTTGGTCGTGAATCTAGTTTACCTTCAACAAACATCAAAATTCTGATTTTATATCTTACGGTATTTAAAAAACATAAAATATAATAAAATAAAACCAAACCTAACAATGAACAAGAAAGGACAAAGAATTGCATTTATAAAATACCTTGTGAATGCGATCAGTTTTATTTAGGTGAATCATCAAGGCCATTAAATGTTAGAATAAGTGAACATCAATCTTATATTAAAAATAGGGAATTTGATAGATCTCAAATACGTAAACACGCATGGGATAATGAACATAGGGTTCAATGGAATAATTCAAATGTAGTCCTAAAAGAAACGGATGGTAAAAAAAAGAAAAATCAAAGAAGCGGCTCTAATTATGCTAAATGAGGCCAATTGTGTCGCAAATTCCTCGGCAGAATGTAGCAGGATCTGGTTACCAATATTGAAAGAGGAAGTTATTAATAAGAAAATACCAATATTAGTAAGTCAGTAACATATAGAGGATACATCATTTATGTTTTTTAAATATCGTAAGATATAAAATCAGAATTTTGATGTTTGTTGAAGGTAAACTAGATTCACGACCAAATACCTACTTACAATGTCTGGATAGTATTATAAGATTTTTTCCCTCATAATTTACTATGGAATCACTAACAGGAGAATTTTACTGTCATCATGTCATGTGTTTGTCTTTTTAAAGACGAATTACATGCTATGATTTTCTTCTGACGGGTATTGTCAAGTTAAAGTTGATTTCATGTAATCGAATGAACTATCTTATAGTAAAGTCGTCCCAGGAGTGCAACTCAACAATATTGGCAATATCATTTTAAAGTCGTCTACTTTAAAATGTATAATGTATGTCTGAATTGTCAATATAAATGAGTCAGATAAAATTAAATTATTAGAAAAATTTTTCACTATGTAACAAAAAACAAAATTTGTTTAATTTACTGTTTGTATTTTGAGAATGATTTCCGAAGTGGAAATTGAAACGTCAATAAACGTATTTTTATCTTTAATTGTGGCTTATTCCCAGTTTAATAGTAATTAATTTACAATGCCACAAGAAAATAGCTTCAGAACAATTACTATAAATGATCACAACTTTGAAGTAATTAAAGAATTTAAATATCTAGGGGCAACAATCACAAATGACAACAAATTAGAGCGAGAAGGTGAAACGAGAATAATGGCAGGAATCAGATCTTTCTTTGCAATGCAACATCTGATGAAGTCGAAACTTCTTTCACGAGGTGCAAAGATCCGGATATATAAGACCATAATACGACCAGCAGTCGCGTATGAAAGCGAAATATAGACGATAACAAAAAGTGAAGTAAATAAATTGCTAGTGTGTAGTGCAAGTATAAAGACAATTACTCTACACCTACACTAGGTACCTGACTGTAAAAATGCACTGTACCATGCCAATGACCATTAGTTGTCGACGCATTAAACTAAAAAAAAAATTACAATTTGCCTAATAATGCCATTAACACACTATATATATTACTGGTTGCATATTACACAGGTGCAATCACTTTTGGATTTTCAGAAAACACTGTTAAATATAAAACTATAACTATAAACGCCATAAAAAATATTAAATAAATAATATTATCTATCTAAGTATTATTTCATTGTAGCTAATATTTGCTTTATAAATTCAATATTTATATATGTGATTAAACCAATTCAGAATTATTTTTTATTTGATATTAAAAAATATTACATTAACTTATTTTATATGATATCCCGAGAATCTGTGGTTAATTACTATATTGTGTCCTAAAATGTTTGATTGTTCATAGTAATTTCATATTTCTGTCCCAGCAAATAATCTGATTTATTTGTGTGACATCTAGGTGGTAATGGCCGAACTTATAACGAAAATCAATTAGTTTAGTTATAAGCGTGTAGATGTCACGATTAAAGTATTAAATTTATGATGTATATAGTATTCTGCAAAATCAAATTTGAATATAAATAATTTAAAATGCACAATTAATAGTTCATTAAGTAATAGTTTACTAATGTTTCTTTTCGAAACTCGTCCCACATAGAAACTGTTCTTAACGTGCTAAATTAAAATTCCACAAAGCCACTCCTAGTAGTTATGCAATCAGTAATGCACTAACTTGAGCGGCATCTAGTTAGGGTTGCATGAATTTCTAAAATCCAAGTTTGCGCCATGATATAAGGAAACATGGTATGCTCACGCGCATCTATTTTGAACAGCCAATCACGTTTACGACCAAAATCCGCCATTTTGAAGGCGGCAATTCAAATATGTACAAAATTGATACGAAATATCGTAGTTAAATAAAATAAAATAAAATTAATATTATACATTAATCCAATTAATTCATATTTTAAATGATCTGAACAGACTCTTGCTAAAATAATTTTTAAAAAATCGAAACAAAACAAAAACACATTAAAAAAAAAATTTAAATTCCAGTACATTGCAAAGTAAGGTTAAAAAATGCAAAAGTAAACAAAGCAGACGTCACGCATGTAGAGGTGGTTGATCCAAGTATTTTTGTGGATCAGGTCAGGTATGCTCACTTACACTTACTATGAGTACAGTACCCGTACCATGGACGTATAAATAAAGATCTTTATTTATACGGCCATGATCCGTACTCGTTTTTTATAATATATTGGTGTTGGGGATCAGTTCCACAAGTATAAATAAAATACATGTTCCAAAGTAACTGGTACGGGATCAGGTCACCATCCCTACACACATGTGACATATTGAAAAGATG